TCAACAAATTGCAGCTTCCTGCAATAAAACCAGCGGAACTGCAAAAAATTGTGCTATTAGGAACATCATATGTTTTAAGAAGGTACTTGGTTGATTCCTAGGATGCTGACAGCAACCCGTATCAACCATTAGCACCAGTGAATGGGATTTGTGATGCATTTTTGAATGTTCAGTTGACTGAGTTTCATGTTTAATGTTTAAAGTATAATAATAATAAAGATGGCAGCAGACAGCAAATATGCCCTCTGAAAAGATGCTGAAGTGGATCACTTAGCTGCTGAAGAAAATCATAAAACAGAAAGACCTGCAAATAGAAATAGAACAATTGTGGCAAAAGAAAGCAAACATAGTACCAATAACAATCGGCACCTTAGGTGCAATCCCAAACTGTCTGGAGCCCCACTAGAACACCATCGGCATTGACAATGTCTCCATCAATCAATTGCAAAAGGCAACTTTACTTGTAACATCTTACATCCTACAACAATACCTTTTAACACCATCAAACATCACCATCTATTTACAACTGTGATGGTCAGGCCTCATTGTGATCATATGTTAAGGACTCCCTGTAATAATAGGCATCTTTGGTGTAATCCCAAAACATCTGATTTATTGGAAACACCTTGCATCTTGTGATAATACAATTAAACAATAATATCTGTTTTTCCCAGGTCCTTAGGAAGAACTTGCTAGATGGATAAAAATGCCCAAACCAGTCTAAAGATCTGGCTGACTTTGCAACCAACCATAATAATTTGCTGATTGTATTTATAGGCTATCTTGAAATAAGAGGCATGTTGGAAGATCAACGCATTTTTAAAAATATTTTAAAATATTCATTTTAAAAGAGCACCTCAAAATGCTAATGGCACACACTTTTTGTAAGACTATATCATTATTTCCAGCATTTGTCTTCACTGCCACTTCTGCAGATACTCATAGCTACCAGTAATGTTTTCAAAGTCACAATTTATTCTGTGCTTCCATTATAATTCGATGCTTTGGTAGCTATGCCAACTCTAAATATTTTCTTCTGTAGTTAAACTCAGATACTACCTTTTCCTTTGAACACAGATGCTTTGAAAAATCTTGCTACATATTTCTAATTTTTAAAGCTGAGAATATGCTAATATTTTTTTCCATAGCGGGTAGCCATATGTTTTGTTGCTCTTCCACTTATTTTCTGTCTCACTGATTAGTACTAGAGTTTAAGGGTTGGAAATTTTTCAGGTATAGCAAAATTTGTTACTTAATTTATTATTACCACCATTTCTAATTCCAATCTCTTTACTTTCATGAACTTTGCTTTTCCGGTTTCCAAAACAACAATAAAGTGATTGTCCCTTAGTGTAATTCCTAATTTTTGAGCGTCCAATCATGCTTAACCCCTCCACTCAAAGCAGTGTGGGGTGAAACAATGCTGCAAAATAACAGCTGGAAAATGGCAAACCTGTGACAGATTAAATTCGTTTTGCTAAAATATTTAAATGCTTCAACATGGTAATCCAGACATCATGAAATGATTTTTTTTGCCTCTTGAGTTATGAACCTTTGCAAATAAGGTTTTATAATAGAAAAACTGTCAGTGCCTTAATTATAGGATAATAAATAGCAATGCTGTATTAACTTCTGATTTCCCCCCCCAAAAATGTGCCTAGCTATTGTTAGAAACTGATAATCACATGCTATAGAAATCTTGCATTTACAATGCACCCTTTCTTCATGTGGATCTTGGAAACATTCATGAGAAGATAGTTGAAGGGAACAGTGTTGAAGGTGCCATTGAATCCCTAAACAAACCAGTTTTGCACTTTACTGTGAAGAGAAAAATCAGTTCTTCTATGAACTGTGAGTCAAAGGAAAAACAAACAAAACCTCAAACCTCTTTGATCTGTGTTTGAAAGGTAACCAAACTGAAGAATTGGTTAATTTAAGGAGTGGACATAATGGAAGCAGAAATATCACCATATCATATATTTATAATATGGCAGCAGTAGAATTTGAGTGAAGAGAATTGAACTCTGCTTACAAACTTTTGGCTTGTGGAAAGGCTGTGAAGAATGAGCAGCTGTCCAATCCAACAATTTGTAAGTGAGTTTGGTAGATTAAAAATCAAAGTAGGTTAAACAGGGCCAGGGTGCTCCAAAATGATATAACGTAGGCAAAAACTGTGGGGTGGAAATTAAAAAAGTTCTGGAGCCTTTTTTTTTTTAAGCAAACCTCGCTGAATCTGAAGAAACTTCTGGGGTTTCACATGACAAACAGTAACCAATTTTGAAGGAGAAATAAAACATCCACTGCAACTGGGTTTCAACCAGTTCGCGGCGGTCCCTGCCAACCGGTTGGTTGCCAAACCCGGAAGTAAGTAACTTCTGAGAACAGCCCGCCCGCTAGTGGTCCTTACCCGGTTTTGATGAGTTCTGCGCTTCCACACATGCGCAGGACGCATACAGCGCCTGCGCGATTGTCCAGGAGCAGCTGGAGCGTCGCACAGACGCTAGCACGCATGCGTGCGCCGCGCGCGTGCACGAGGACGCCGCCGGCCCCGTTCCAACCGAACCAGTTGGAACGAGGCGAGAAACCCACCCCTGAGTATAACCCAATATTAATCATCACCATTGATATGTGGCACAGTTCAGTTAAATTGTAGGATGTGTGGATTGCTTGAAGAGTAGACAGCTAATGCCCATTTTGCAGCATCCACATTCTAATTTCTACAGCTTTTTCTCTTGGTGACCTAAGTTGACAAAATGGAGCAATTAACTGGGTTTTGGGGTTTCCATTATTGGCTGGTGAGGTTGAGATAGCTTAACTCTATGCAAGACTAATTGCATTTTGGGCTCAGTCCTGCTCTGGAGGAAGATTGGAAAGTTGACTGGATCAATGAATGCTCCTTTTCTTTTTTTTTTT